TGGTTCAAACCCACCAGCCACTCCTCGGAAGGAAGATTGGGCAATCTACTTCTGTAGTGATAACACCTCTGAAACCCAAGGAGGGGTCGCTATGAGTCAGAAACAACTCGACAGCAGTGAGTTTGGTTTTTTGGTTATTGGTTCATCAATTGTAATAAATATACCACATTAATACACACTGCCGGTAATAGGAGAAACTGTATAGTAGGGACAGGGGGTATATGGGAACTCTGTTTTCTCTCTCTCTCTTTTTTTTTTTCAGTAAAGCTAAAACTCTAAAAATTAAAGTCTGTTAATTAAAAAAAAATCTTACCCCCCAAAATGTAGTTTATGTTGGGAAGCAACTTAATATAGTGGAATAGCGTTGTCTAGAAGATTAGAAACTTCATTCTGATCTCAGCTCAGCCTCATCTCTTCAGGTGCCCTTGGTTAAGACTCTTAACATTCCTGGACATTGTATATGATAGGAAGCGTATGGGGTTGGAGCAGGTGATCATTAAAGATCCTCTGTTTTCTTTTTCTGTTTGAAGGTTTTTTCAATCCTTCATTCTGTGACATATTTTCAAACATTTTTTGGTGCAATGTGATTATAAATGAACTATCCTTTATAGATGAAGATGAATTCACTTCTCTGTTTTAATAGGGAATGGTCTTTGATTTGTTTTTCTGTTAAGAGTTATGGGCAGTACTCAGCTTTCACTATTCTGAGGTACCTTGCTAGAGTCAAACACAGGTCTAGACTCTGGGTATTTTAGATTAGAGTGCTACAAAATAAGGCTTTTGTTTTGTCCCTGACATTTTTCAGTTGACCTTGATTTTCACATGGCTCATCAATTTTACTTGCCTTGTATTCCTTGCTAAGAGTTTCAGACTTGATTTGTAATCTGTTTTTGCAGTAATCTTTCCTATTTCTGAATGTAATAATGCCTCTGTTATTTGTATAAAGATTCCTGTCGGTAGTTGGAACCCTCCAGCCCCCCCACAGGAGAAAGATGAGGCTTCATAAAGATTGACAGCCTTGGAAACCCTCTGGGGCAGTTCTACTCTGTCCTGTTGTGTTGCTATGTGTTGGAATTCACTTGACAACCAGGGGTCTGGTTGGGTTTTGGTTATTTGTGTGCTTGAGGGTCTTGAGGCCCCATATGAGACTTGAACACTGGAATCACAGCATCATTACATTATGATGTTGAATCTTGTAAACAACTAATATTTCTGTACATTTTAGTGAATCATGTTTTGGATGGTTTGGGGTGCAATAATAGAGTGTTTGATTCCTTGACCTTGATGTAAGGGCCAGTGGGGAATTGGTACTGTAGTAACCAAATCCTTAAATGAGTTTCACAGTACTTTATTTTATTCTTCTAAGTAGAAGTTCAGAGCCTCAGTGAAAAAGTTAGCTTTGTAAGAAAGAAAATTTTACAAACTGTAGAACTCCTTTCAGTAAATAATTCTTTGGTTTGATGAGAGAGAGAGGTAGAAAACTATATCTACACACTGCAGTGCACTGTTTAAAAATATGTATATTTTTTTTTCTTCCAGGGGCTGGAAGCCATCTACAAGAAGCACAAAAATTGGAAGAAAACAATGAGAATGCACAGGATGCCAGAAGAAAGACATTGAGATATTTAGAGCTCTGTGGTGAGAACAAATCTAGCTTGACTGCAGTGTTGATTCACATTCAGAAATCCTCAGTGAATCATCCCTAGAAAACTGGCAGATTTAAATAGTTTTAACTTGGATTAGTATGTTATTTATTTATTTTAAAAACGTTTGATAATAATAGTAGAATAGAGTAGTAGAGTTTTAGGAATTTTTCCCTTCAGGGAGCTGTCTGCTGCTTTACTTCGTTGTTGTTGTTGTTGTTATGTGCCGTCAAGTTGGACCCGACTCAGAGGGACCCCTCCTTGGGTTTCCGAGGCAGTATCACTATGGAAGTAGATTCCCCAACCTTCCTTCCAAGGAGTGGCTGGTGGGTTTGAACTGCCAGCCTTCTGGTTAGCAGTGAAATGCCTTAGGCACTATGCCAACAGCGCTAAGGCACTTGACTGCTAACCAAAAGGCTGGCGGTTCAAATCCACCATCCACTTCTTGGAAGGAAGACTGGGAATCAACTCGATGGTGGTGAGTTGTAGTTTTTTTTTTCATAGCAGAAAATGTAAAGGAGGTCAGAAAAAGAAATCCCCCACTACCAGTAAAAATGTGACAGTATCTCCTTCATTTCAGTTTACCATTGGCTTTGTTTCTAATTGATGTTTTCTCCTTCTTTGACAGGATACATTATTTTTGCCCTCTTGGCCATGGGTCTGTGTATTTTTTTGGGAAGTGCAATTAGTAGCTACTATTCTTCGCAAGCCCAGCAAGTGCACAGAAATCCAGCTTTAGAGGCCTTCTTGGCTCGGTTCACTCAGTTGAAGGATAAATTTCCAGGCCAGAGTTCCTTCCTCTGGCAGAGGGGACGTAAGTTCCTGCAGAAGCACCTCAATGTTTCAAACCCCACGGAGCCAGCCACCATCATACTTACAGCAGCTCGAGAGGGAAGAGAGACCCTAAAGTGCCTCAGCCACTACGTCGCAGATGCCTACACCTCTTTCCAGCAAGTCTCTGCCATTCAGATCGATGGGGCTGCCAGAACCTTGCAGGACAGTGACACGGTCAAGCTGTTGGTTGACCTTGAGCTGAGCACTGGGTTTGAGAATGGCCAAAAGGCTGCTGTGGTGCACCGCTTTGAATCCCTGCCAGCTGGCTCCACCTTGATATTCTATAAGTATTGTGACCATGAGAATGCAGCCTTTAAAGATGTGGCCCTAGTCCTTACTGTTTTACTAGAGGAGGAAACATTAGAAGCAAATGTAGGTCCAAGAGAAACTGAAGAGAAAGTGAGGGATTTGCTCTGGGCCAGATTTACCAACTCGGACACTCCCAGCTCCTTCAACCACATGGACTCAGACAAACTGAGTGGGCTCTGGAGTCGGATTTCCCACCTGGTACTGCCTGTCCAGCCAGTAAGGATCATAGAAGAACGGGGGTGCCCTTTGTAAGGCTAAGCACACAGTTGGTTATAGAAGGCATAGATTTCTTTAGTCAGTTTAAAGGCCTTCCCATTACAAGGAAGGCAGTTGATAAATGTTAGGAAAATAGCTGGAAAAGCACAAGTGAGTTCACTTTAGAAAAAGAAAACTTGGTTTTTTACTTTTCATCATATTTTTCTAATCAAAGTGTGACAAAGTGTGACAAAGCTAAAAATTGACCTTGCTTTTCAGTGTGGCATATGTAACTGAGGAGTTTTTTTTTTTGTTTTTTTTTTTAAATCCCAAAATTCAGCAACAAAGTATTTGCACAGGAAGATATTCTTGCTTCCTAGAATAACTACAGAATGATTTTTACTTTCTTGAATGAGCTAATGAGCTTTTTTTTGATAGTGTTTGGACTCTGAATAAAGCAATTACAGTTATAAAGCAATGATAGTTTTTAGAAAAAAAATTATCACAGGTTAAATATTTTTAAAATACGCTTTAACCTCATTGTTTGATTACATCTTATACTATACTTGCACTTTTGAGTAGCGTGAAAAAAGAAAATAGGAATCAAACCAACCATTACTTAGCCTACATACTTACTGTCTGTCAGGCACTATGGGTTTATTCCATTAATGAGCTGAAGCAAAAGCAGCTGTACTCAAGAATTGTTCTTTTAAATGGGGGAAATTGTTTATAATCATTGGAAATGAGGAAACTCCAGTTGGCTCTATCTTTACCTTGGCTTTCTTGATGATGTAGAGCCATGATTTTCAAACTACCTGCACCCCTCCCCTTTGAATGAGAACAGTTAGCTTTTGACTATATATTGAGGTTCTCCGTAAGATTTAATTGGATCAAAGAGTTCCACTGATAATGATGTTTGAATACCACTGGTTATATGAAAAAACATCTTGGGAGATTAGGAAATAAGTAGAAACAAATGAATGTATTAAAACTTTTGAGTAGGAAGAGTGAGGGTGAAGTATAGGTTTATTGTACAGAAGCACTGCTTGTGAAAGATAATGACTACAGTGAACAAAATACATAAACTAGCGTTTACTAGCATGTTTCTGGTGCTTTTGTTAAATTCTCTTAATCATCATTTCTGTTTCCCCTGATTGGAATTTTATAATTGTCTAGGATGAGAGTATGAGTGCTATTTAAGCAGAACAGATTTTAATAACCAGTCTAATAGTAGCTCTTATATTTTATATGAGCACATTGGCATACCTTTACAAAACTTTATTTGCTGTGCACTGATGGAACATTAGAAAATGTAGCTTATTTCTTAGCTAGTTAGTTAGAATTACTATTATGTTAAGGACTAAAGAAATGCAAGAGATGTTATGCATACTGAGAGAAGACAGAATGGTAGGTAGATTCTCAGAGGTGTCAACGGCCAACATTAATGGTTACATCATGTTCTTTGATTGTAAGAAAGACTGAAAACAGTATTTATGGAGACAGTAGTTGTTGATTTGCATTTGAGCCCTGAAAGCAGAAATCTAGTACGTAGCATTCCCAGGAACTATCCTGGATCCTGGAATGTTTCCACTAGATTCTGGCCTCTTCTGCTTATATGAGCATGTATGTGTGTGTATATATACATAATACTAATCCACCAGCTGCTTCATGGGAGAAAGATGTGGCAGTCTGCTTCCTTAAAGATTACAGCCTAGGAAACCTTATGGGGCAGTTCTACTCTGTCATAGAGAGTCGCTATGAGTCAGAAGCGACTCAACAGCACATGATAATTATCTATATATGTTTAAATATATATACACACACACATATATATATATATATTTAAGAAGACATAAGATGTGCTTAAAGTATGGAAGGGTTTTAGGAAACACTAAGAAGAAATGTTGTTATTGTTGTTGTTATGTGCCATCGAGTCAAACCCGACTCATAGCGACCCCTCCTTGGGTTTCCGAGGCAGTATCACTACGGAAGTAGG